CATTCTCCTGGTGGTATAGGTATTATGTATGTCAGGTTGACAATGTTGTTCAAGCCTTCTCTACTTTTACTGATTTTCTGTCTACTTGTTCTATCATTTATTGAGAGAAAGGCATTAAAATCTTCAAGTACAGTAAGCAATTTACCATTTCTCCTTCTAACTCTTGACAGATTTGCCATAATATATTTTGGAATTCTCTTATTTAGAACATACATGTTTAGGATTTTTATTTCTTTTATTTGAACTGACCCATCATCCATCATGAAAGACTCTAGTATTTAAACTTCTATATCTAACCAGTCTTTTTAGCAATAGTTCAACCTCACTCACTTATACAACCTGACAATCTTTTCCTTTTAATTAAGTGTTTAAGATATTTGTGTTTAGTGTAACTGACGGTAGAATTTTTAACTTAGCATCTTGTTTTTTATTTCTCCTATCTATACCTCTCCCTTTTTTTTTTCTTTCACCTTCCCTTGGGTTATTTTTATGGTTCCATTTTATCTCCTTTGCTGGTAGGTTAGCTCTAATTCTCTGTTGACTTATTTTAGTGGAGACCTTTAGTTTGTGATTTATTTAACTCACTACAGTTTACATCTATGTAATGGATGGCACTTCAGGTACAGAACAAGCAGTATATGTCCATGCTCTTGTTGTCATGTTTTACTTCTACATAAGCCCACAATATAATTTTGTTTTACATACTAAATTATCTTTTAAAAATAAAGAGTTTTAATTAATGAGAAAATTATATTTACTACATCAATTCCCTTTTCAGGTCATCTTTATTCCCTTATGTAGATCCATATTCCCATCTGGTACCACTTTCCTCCTGCTAGGATTTCTACTAGGATTTCGTCTAAGGCATGAATTCTTTGTTTTGTATGACTGAAAATATTTTATCTTGCCTTCATTTTTGAAAGGAATTTCATTTTTAAGTAATTCTACAATAATAGATTTTTTTCTTAAGGTAACTTTAAAGACATTATTCACTTGTCTCCTTGACTTGCATACAAACAAATTTTCTGTCATTTTCTTAATTTGCTCCTCTGCATGCAATATCATTATTCTCTGGCTGTTTTAAAGATTTTTTTTTCATTACTGGTTGTAAGCAACTTGATGATGATGGTCCTTGGTATAGTTTTCTTCATGTTTCTTATACTTGAGATTCACCAATCTCCCTAAACCAGTATTTATAGTTTTCATTAAATTTGGGAAATTTTCAACCAGTTTCAAGCATTTTTCTACCACACCCTTCAACAACTCCAATTTCATGTGTAGAAACAACTATATTGTCCCATTGCTTCTTAATTTTGTTTAACTTTTTTCTTGCCATTTTTTGATAATTTATATTGCTATAGCTTCACAGCACTCAAATTTTCTTCTGCTATGCCTAACTAGATGTCATTTCCATTGAGACATAGTTTTCACATTCAGAAGTTCAACTTATGTGTTTCATATTTTCCAAGTTTCCCCTTAACCTGCTCACACTTTCATCTACCTTTTGAAGCATGTAATTATTGTAACTGTTTTAATGTCCTTGCTTATTAACTATCAACTGTATCACTTGGGAGTATTTTCTAATTGACTGGTTTTCTCCTCAACAGAGGTCCTATTTTCTACTTCTTTGCTAAGCTTTTTGACTACCAGGAATTGTCAGTTTTACCTGGATGGGTGACGAATATTCTTGTATTCCTTTAAATAGTATTGAACTTTATTCTGGGATGAGGTTGAATTATGTGGCAATGGTGTTTGCTTTAAGGCTTTTATTTGGGCAAGTCAGAGCAAGGCAGAGTAGCCTTAGACGAGGTCTAACTTCACCTACTACCAAGGCAATACTTTTCTGAGTATGATGCCAGTATGTTGCAAGAATGACTCCTGGACTTGTGAACTCGAGGGCTCTCGTTTTGCCTGCCTTTTTCTGGTGGTCCTTTCCTGCTTTTAGTAAGCATCCTCATAAGCATGAGCAGACTAGTACATAGCTGAAGACTTGAAGGTAACCCTCTGCAACACCCCAAAGTCTATTTTCAGCTCTTTCCAACTCTAATACTACCCACCACTCAAATCCTAGCCACCTTGAAACTCACAATTCAATCTTAGTTCAGGGAGAACACTATTGCCTACTTGGGCGGCCAGGCCCTACACCACCACCTGGAAACTGGTTTCAGGTAATAATAAATTGAAGTGCTCATCCTGTCTGTGTGCCTTCTCTCAGGGATCATTGTCCTCTGTGGCCTGTTTTTCCTTAGAGTTTTAACACTTTTATGTGGAAAAAAGGATTCTGTCCTGATTTTGTTTTTCAATCAATGCTGCAAAAAGGAAAAAAGCCCATGTCTTCAAATGTTTAAGATCTAGCACAGAAGGGGTCCTCTCTAGTGGCAGAAGGGATTAAAGTAAGGCACTACAAAGCTATCCATGGCCATTGCAGCACCAGTTCAATGCTTGGCCAGGGAGGTGACCCACATGGCCTGTCAGCCCTCTTACCTCAGCAGTGTATTTCAGTGAATCTGCCTATTCTACTCCTTACTCTGTATCTGGTGAATCCTCTCACCTCCCACACCTCTGGCCGGTACCACACTTCTAATATGCATAAATAAATCTCAAAAAAAAAATACCTAGCACAGAAAACACCCACTTCTCCAGATACTGGAAAAGTTCCACTAATAACAGAATCCCATTTCCCTAACAGCAATGTTAACTGGAAGAAATTCAACTATGACAGCTGTTATGACTTCCAAACAAGAACGAAACTTTCTTAAATGAAGATCTCTTAAGTTTGGATTTACTGTAAATAACATCTAGTCATTTACTGCCACAAGTGGTAACTACATCACACGCCCGCTCTGTCCTCATAATATTCTCACTGTGGCAGTTGTGTCAGGTGCTGCATAAGGGAACACCATCGCCTTAGTCTTTCCCATTTAACAGAAGATGCTTATAACTTTCACAACACAATATGATGTCTCAGAGGCTACAATGACATTAAGGAGTCCTACCACACAAGGATTTATACTGCAAAGTGTTATAACAAGAAGCAAATTGCTTTCCAAGAACCACTTTGTTGCACAAAAAAAGAGATCTAACTTATTTCTGCAAGTAAAAGAAATCTCATCATCTGGCATTTGATGATCTTCCTGTGCCAAGGTGGGAATGTACTTTTCAAGCAAATCCTCCCTTTGACAAAGACAGAAATGGCAATGTGTATGAGATAGTATCTGGAGACCACTCAGAGAAAAGTCAGAAATTGATCATTTTCTTCCATAATCAATTTCAAATGCCAGACATTTCCTGCCTGGGCAGCAACCTGATCAGCAACGTAAGCCAGACACTCATGTTAATTTGTAAAAGGTGAATAGCAACAAGAAATAACATGATGTTGTCAGAAGTCCCTAAGTATTTAAGAATTGTCTTGACTATTCCTACAATTTTCGTTTGTTCAACAATTTACCATTTCTACTGATAAATTGTTTGCTTTCCAGAAGTGAGATGAGTCTATTGGGTGCAGGGAAAAGGTCCTGTTAGGCAGGTAGGGCCAGAATGAGGCCCAATCAGCAAGTACCTTCACACGAACTTCAGATACTTTCTTCACCACCCTCCTCCAAGACCTGACCATGCCACCAATATCCAGTCATCTCCTAAACAGCAACCCATACTCTATACCAGGACAGCTCAAAGGATGACCTGCTGCTAGTCTGTGAAGAGATAAGCAGGGATTAAAGGCAAGCATTTGAAACTTTTATAGCAACTGACTAATTTTAAATCACTGGATAACAAAAACTAAGACTTGCATGTTGACTTTCATTTCACTTTTCTAGTTGCTTAGTTTCATTATATTGACAAAAGTAATAGTCTACAACAATTTAGGAATTAAAAAAGAAACCTGACCCTTTACCACAAATAGCTTGAAAGCATTGCTCTATAATTCCTTTTCCCTTTCATAAAACTAGCACCAATGCATTAGAGAGGAAGTGAGGATAGGCTGGCAGGGGAGGTCAGGAGGCCTCAGATCAGGAGACCACCTGGGACCCATACACTATACACTCTACACAGAGTTCAGGAACCTCTGCTTTGGCTGATTTAAAATAATGTATCATAATAATATCTCATAGATTTTCCTCTTGTTTCAGACATTACGCTCTAAGACTATATGAAATCAATCTAATGAAGACCCATATGTTATTCAAATGAATATACCTATAAATTATTGCTTCAGAATTAAAACTTGTATATTATTTGGGAAAGTGACATATAAATCTGTTTATATACACATAAAACACTTGTCATATTACTTGGGGAAGAAAAAGAAAATAACCTAAAGGCCCTACAAAAGCACAAAGCAAAGAAAATCTTTCACATAGTAACTGTATCAAATCCAGGTAGACAGTACACTGAATAGTATGAAAACTTCATAAGCACAGAAATATGTCTGAAATAACCTATCTCTAGTTAATGTATCAATGTTTACATTGGTAGGGGGAAACGAACTGTATATTTAGTAAAAGTTCATCGAAAGAGAAATGATCAAACAATTTAGCTAATAATACTCTCAATTCCAATAGTTATATTTTTGTTAGTCAACCTGTGGGGATTTCACAGAATTTTGAAAAGTGAAAAAGCATGATGAACATATACAAGTATTTGTATGCAGTATTCCCACTGAAGTTTTTAAAGCATGTAAATTAAAGGTAAGATATTAAAGGTAAGATAGAAATGACTAGATAATGAAAGCGTATGAGGTCTATTCTCTGGTTAAGATTAGCTACTTGGTAGTGGGGTAGAAGAGTCAATCAAAAAATGAAATTAAAGCAAATTTCTTTCAAATACCTGTAAGTTTTAATGTAAGATACTATGTCTACATCATATCATAAATATTAGCATGTGCATGTATATTTCTATTTAGAGCTCTTAAACAATGATCATCAAGGTTCTCAAGTTTCTCTTGCATAGAGCTAAGGGAGATTTCTGATGCTTTCATTTCCTTTTAGTGTTCTTCTTTTACTAGAATGTTTAAAATAACCATATGTTGTTTATGTAGTAAGAAAACCAAAACAACAAAGCTACAACACACATGCCTTCATTTCCCACCTCTAACCCTAGAATTCCCTTCATCCCTAACCCCTCCACACCAAGGCAGTTTGAGCTCTCACTGTCCCTAACTCTGACTGGCCCCATGCTCTCCAGTCTCTCTCCTCTCCCATCCTCCACATAAATGCCAAAGCGACCTTTCAAGAAAGCCTATCTGTCCAAGATATGCCCCTGCCTAACACTGCACTGAGCAACCCTACTGCATTCACACCTTGCTCACCTCCTCTGCACCTCTGCTCTACACCCAGCGGCTCCTAGTTCGCCCATGTTCCTCCACCTCTCTAATCCCAGCTAGCACCTGTCCACTCCAGAGGACTTAACCATTCCCTTCTACAGCCACTTAAATGTCTCTTGTTTTCCCATAGTATACATCCCACATATTTTATTATAGCACTGAGATCATAATGTTCATGATTTGGAGTATTTTTTCTCTCCCTACTTACACTGTGAGCTATTTGAAGGAATGATTCTATATTAAAGCAAACAAATATATGAATCTGTAAAAGCTGAATCCAGAGCAATAAAAAATGCATACCTATACAACCATATAAAATGTCTATATAAACATTGTATAAACATGGAAAAAAACTTGAAAGGCACACATTTTAAGTTTTTTTCTTTTCCAATAAAATGGTTTAAATCACGTAAAATTACTTTTGGTAATTCATTCAATGAATAAATTATGTTCAAGTTAACCAAAGTTAGAGTTAATTACATTTAAATTCTTATTTATAGTGAAAAAGAAATCAGAAAAACTCATTCTCACCCTTTTAAATAAAAAGTTCTTAACACCATGTCAGTTCTAGGAACAGTAACTCTTCCCCATGAAACAGGTCTGTGCTTACTCACTGGAGTTGAGAAGGATCATGGCCTTGACACAGAGATACTCTTTGTGTTGGAGTTTTAACTCGCGAAACCTTGAAGTTGTTGCCAGAAGCATGTCAAAGATTTCCAGAATTCCTTCTACGCATTTTCCCTCATCCCTACAAAATTTCATTTGGAAATTTAAGAAAAATACAGCACCAGACCACAATCAAAAACAGCAAGAAGTATTTTTTAACCTCAAATTTCATCTTGTATGAACATTCTTTAATTATTTGAAGGCAGTTATGAGACTAGATGCAGTGATATGAAATTACTAGAAATACCTTCATAAGAAAAGGACAGACATTTCATATAACCCCCTGGAATAAATATTTGAGTAAATACATTTTAAGCAAAAGTGTATATTGGAACTATATTTCCCTTCTACTTGTTCACCAAGAATTTTCTTAAAGGAATCCCATTTCTGTTGATTGTCTTCAATCTTTACTATTTCAATCAACCAGGCCAAGATAAGACACAAACTACTAAAATGAGACATTCAATAGAGGTCTGAAGTGTTGATGATAAAGACAATGTCACAAAACCAATTATCCCAAGAAGAGCTAATCCTTCATATATAAGGTTTTACTTTCATTTCCTTATTCAGTCAAATGGTGGGGCAACTAAAAGACTTTTAAATGTAACCTGAAAAAAGGTAGTATGATAAATAAATAATAATAGATTATTAGATATTAGATAATAGATATAATAGGTTAGAATGAGGAAGGGAAGGCTGAAATGAACACATGGAAACTTTTGACTTACCAAAGACTGTTTTTTAATTGAGATATAATTGACATATAGCATTAATTTCAGGTGTACAACACAATGATTCAATATTTGTATATAATGTGAGGCAATCACAATAAGTCTAGTTCAAAATCCATCACCACACCGTTACATCTTTTTTCTTGTGATGAAAATTTTTAGGATTTAGTGAAAAAGAAATCAGAAAAACTCATTCTCACCCTTTTAAATAAAAAGTTCTTAACACCATGTCAGTTCTAGGAACAGTAACTCTTCCCCATGAAACAGGTCTTAGCAACTTTCAAATACACAATAGAGTATTACTAACCATACTCACCATGCTGTATATCACATTATGTGAAGTTATTTTATTATCAGAACTTTATACCTTCTGAATACCTTCACCATTCCACAGCCCCATCTGTTCTGGCAACGATCAATCTGTTCTCTGTATGAGTTTTGTTTTTAAAATTCTTCATATAAGTGGGATCATACAGTGTTTCATTATCTGACTTACTTCACTTAGCATAATAACCTCAAGGTCCTTTATGTTGTCACAAATGGTAGAATTTCCTTTCTTTTTATGATCCCCCCTCAAACAATTTTCTTATCCATTCACCCCTCAGTGAACCCTCTGATTGTTTTCATATCTTGACTGTTGTAAATAAAGCTTCAGTGAACTTGGGTGAGGATATCTTTTGGAGTATTTTTGTTTCCTTCAGAAATGTACCTAGATGTAGGGCTACCGGGTCTTATGGTAGTTCTATTTTAACTGTACCAATTTATTAATACATCCTTCCCAGCAGTACACAAGATTCCCCTTTCTCCACAACCTTGACAACACATTATTTCTTGTCTTTTGGTTATTATAGCCATTGTAAGAGCTGTGAGGTGATAGCTTATTATGATTTTCATTTGCATTTTCCTAGTGACTAGTGATGTTGAGCACCTTTCCATTTACCCATTGACCATTTATCTATCTTCCTTGGAAAAATATCTATTTTGAATGGGACTGATTTTTTTTTCTATTGAGTTAAATGAATCCTTTACGTACTTTGAATATTAACCCCTTATCAGATACACAATTTGCCATTCAATAGATTGTATAAAACTTTTGTCTAAAAACAATTTGTGGTGAAAAGACAAACTTCGAACCATATAATCAAAATTCTTTTCAGCACACCTTATAGAAATCAATGTTTAAGTACATTTTTGAAGTAAATTACTTGAGCTGTATCTAGAAAAATACCACCTTCCATTCACTACAATCAGACACACGTTATTCAATCTCATTGCTCCCAAGAAAACTTTCTATTATTATCAGTCATCCAGTCATCTGAAATCCTTGACAAGCAGTTAGAGGATTTTTGTGAAACTTCCATTTGCTTCTAACAGCCTACAGTACACAGTGAAGGGCAGGAGTTGCAACAGTGGTTTTTTGCAAGTTTCATTCTTAGTAACAGTTCCTGAAAATTCAGAAATTGAGATCTTCAAAGTCCCCCCATTTCCCTAACTCAAGTCAGGACATTTTTGTGGTAATGGTGGTGGGTAGGAGAAGGGTCTATGTGGAATTTAAATGCACTGACACCAATAGGTACCAATAATCCTGATGAAGAGCCTCCCTGGTGGTGCAGGGGTTAAGTCACAGTGCTAGAAAGTTATCACCAGCAACTGCAGCAGGAGTTTGATCCCTGGCAAGGGAGCTGACCTGAGGTACAGCACTTCTCCTGTCTCACCTGCTACTCCCCTCAGCAGGGTATTTTAATAGATTCATCTGTTCTGCTCTCCACTCTGTCTCTGGTGAATCTTCTCACCCATACCTCTGGCCTACACCCCAGTTCTTGTATGCATAAATAAAATAAGACATCTTAAAAAATAATCCTGATGAAGCCTTTCCCATCTAATGATGTGCTAGGAAGGCACAGCAGGATCCTCTATTCCAAAGCATTCATAACCCTGCAGACTCACAAAGCTGCAAGCATGCCAGATGTTCACTGGCAAATAAACATGGAAATGTCTGCAACTAGTGGAGACTTTCTGAAATATGTCAATGTAACACCCCGAGAAGTTACTCAGAGGAGAATGCACCTAGAAGAGTCCTAGGTAAAAGGGGCCAAAATCTGTAGAAAACCCCCAACTCTCCATTCCACCTGTTCTGCCTGAGGGGCACTAGAAACACTTCCCTGATTATCCCTCTGGCCACATTGCCAAATCATCTGAGAGTAATTATTGAACACTGTAATAGTGGGGCTTGAGGACATCTGATACCAAGAAAAACTGGTTTTTTAAATGCCTCTGAGGGACAAAAACAAAAAGTCTAGCACATCTTGCCTACTAGGTTTCACAGGTTGACTCTTTACCCAACGGTGAGAAGGAAGTCAGAGGTGGGGTTTTCTGCACACATGTGCACATACATACACACATACACACCTCTCCAAAGTAGTATAGGAAGAGTCTCATCTGAAATCAACTGTTTCTCAAAGTTGCCACTTGTGCCTAAAAATAAGTTTCTAAGTACTGGCATTGGTACTATTTTCTCATTAAAACACGACCTTCTTTTTAAATACATGTCCTTTTAAATGCAAATTCATATTTCAGGATGGAAGGAGAGTTTATACTCTAGAGCATCTTAAGTTTTGATAAAAGGCTATATCTCACTTTCTATGCCAAATCTAAAGAACTAAGTTTGATTAGTTTCTCTAACAGGTGTTACAACCACTTTTATCCAGGGGTGCCAAGGTGAGAATTCTATTCACTTCACAAGCTATTCTGGAAAATAAATGAAAATTATAGAAATTATGAGGTTGAATTCATCATTAATGACCCCTTATAAAGTTCTGCTTTAAAAGAGTTACACAGAGCAGAAATAGGAAAAATTTTGAGAGAATGAATGATAGCTACTTCATATATTTCATAACTGAAATGAAACTGAACTACAAGTGAGAAATAAAGATAGGATTAAAAGATTTGAATTAAAGATACAGGACATATGGCCCTCCCTGGTGGCGCAGCGGGTTAAAGCACAGCACTAAGAAACTAAAGCTACTACAGCATGAGTTCGATCCCCGCCTGCCCAGGAGGTGACCACATGGCGAGGCAGGTGACCACATGGCGAGGCAGAACTCTCCTGACCCGCCCGCTGCTCCTCTCAGCAGTGTACTTCAATGATCTGCCTGTTCTGCTCCCCACTCTGTGGTGAAGCCTCTCACCACCCCTGCACCTCTGGCCTGTACCCCAGTTCTGTATGCATAAATAAATAAATCTTTAAAAAAAAAGATACAGGACATATTTTGAATATTAAAACAATATATCAATCAACTAATCTATTCACAGAAATTTATTTTGGCATACCATTTGTCCATAAACCATTACTAAATAAAAATAAACACATAGGGAAGAACAAAAATATAACAAAAAAAATTAAAAGAATAAAATAGCAATTACCTATAGAAAATCTTAACACCCATCACTTTATAAAATAAAAATACTCTAATACCAAGAATAAAATGTTCAATGATACTGCTGGCAGAACACATTTGGCCACAGACAGCAGTCTACCTCTGTGCCAGTGGCAGTGGGGTAGGACACTCAAAGCTTCCTAATGAAAGGATTTAAATACTGAAGTGCAAGTGACATGATTATTAAAAATGAAAACTTAGAAGTAAAAATTCTGTGGATATCCTGAAGAACAATCAGTATCTAGCATGAGAAAACTCAGTACATTCATAATTATATGAATAATTAACATAAACATCCACAATGGAATCCAAGCCCAGACCCAAAATTCCTCAGACTTGATGCTAAGGATGCACCAATATCTTAGAACATGGGATTTGGGAAATAAATAGAAGCAACAGGTTAAAGCACAGCACTATGAAGTGATCGACAGCCACTGCAGCACGTGTTCTATCCCCGGCCAGGAAGGTGACCCACATGGCGCACAGACCTCTTCTGACCCACACATTGTTCCCCTCAGCAGTGTATTTTGGTCAATTTGCCTATTCTGTTCCCCACTCTGTCTCTGGTGAATCCTCTCACCCCCCTGCATCTCTGGCCTGTACCCCAGTTCTTGTGTGCTTAAATAAATAAATCTTTATAGGGCATGAGTCCTGACCTTTCAAGTAAGTAACATTTTTAAGTAACTCCTCCAGAAACATGTCCATTATATAAAAAAAAAAACCTATTAAATGCAAACATTCAACTTCCAGATAGGAGAAATTTATATGTACAGTGGAATATTGTTCAATCATTTTAAAAAGAGAAGAAATTACTACCATTTGCAATAACAATGGACTTTGGAGGCATATGCTAAGTGAAATCACTGAGAGAACAATAAATATTATATGACCCTACTCATATGTGCAATCTTCTTTTAAGATTTTATTTTTGCATAAAACTGGGGTAAAGCAGACATATTGGGGTTAGGATTCACCAGATGTGATCGGCTCTAGCTGGGAAGCCAAACAAACAAATCTACTGAAATACATTGCTGAAGGAAGCAGTGGGTGCAACAGGAGAGGTTTGCTACACCAGGTGGGTTAGCAACCTGACCAGGGATCAAACTCAGGCCCTTGTGGTGGGCCTTCAAGGTGATAGTGCTGAGATTTAACCCCCAAGCCATTATATGTGCAATCTTAAAAACAGATAGATAGTTGCCAGTGATGACGGAGGGGGTATGTAGAACCAGTAAAGGTATTCAGAAGGAATAAACCTCTAGTAATAAAATAAAATCTGGGACTATAATGTACAGCATACTAAGTATAATTAATACTCTATTATATATTTTAGAGTTGCTAAGAAAGTAAATCTTTAAAATGCTCATTACAAGAAAAATATTTAACTGGTGATGGATATTAACTAGACTTATAGCAATCATCTCAATATATAAGCTTATTATGCTATACAAGTAATATGTCAATTATATCTCTATTTAAAAAAAATAGCTTGTAAGAAAAATGGCTTTTCCTTTGTCTTCTATTAGCCAAAAAGCAAAACAAAAATTCATGCAGGCTTGTATCAGTTTATATTAACATGTATCTAAAGGAATTAAGGAACTCATAGAAAGAAGAGTTAGTTGTACTAAAAACTAGGAATGAAATAGTCACCAAAACCAACACTAAATGGGGAGTCAATTTAGAAATCAGAAGTAAAATAACCCTAATATCTGGAAATAGTAGTTCATCAAGAATAGAAACTTCAATGCACTAACTACTCAGAATTATTTATGTGTATATAATTTGTGTGTGTATATGTGAGAGAGAATGAGAGACTTGAGAGAGTCTTATTTAAACTTCAAGGGGAACATAATGCGTGAATGAAGAAGTGGATTGAGTGAAGGCATGGTGGGTGCTTGGCCTTTCAGGCTGCTTTATGACATGATTCCCTGAGATGACAACAGGAGGAGGACTTCTGAAGTGGGTAGAGCATAGAAGAGAGTAGTTCTCAGATAAAAGAATGACATAGAAAATAATTTTGTATGTTAGCCTCCTCTTCTTTCTCCTTCCAATCTCCTGTCTGGCATGTATGTTGTAGTTAAGTCCCGACCTAGCAGACAGGTCCCCAAGGCCAGCTTCACCACTTCCCATACTGCAACATCTGCACGTTTGCTATCCTTCTATTTCCTTACTGATGGATGAGGAAAGTAACAGAGCTTACTCCTAATGGGCTGTTGTGAAAATTAAGAAAGTTAACTTGCAGCAAGTGCCAGTGCCTGGCATATATAAGTCAGTGAGTTATTTTGATTGCACTGAAGGATCTGCACTTTGAAACCTCCCTCCGTGGTTCACCACCTGGCTTGCTTCTTCTGGAGCCACATCCAATGCTCCAGCTCTTCACAAAGGCTCTGTTCTCCACCTAAACAGTTTCATTACTTAGAATAATGTTCTTTGCCAATGCTGTCATCCTTGACAACAGGCAAAGGGGGTGCTAATCCCTTCAAATATCACATTACAGCCACACAGTATGTGCATGGGAGGCTTCTGATGATCTACAGAGTTAATAACAAGAGTTGGGAGCAGCTAATTTCCATTTAAATACTTGGCACCCTCTCACAGAATCAAATGTGATTTGAGTATTCAACACTAGCACTTTTTCAATATAAGGAGTGTGTAAGTCAATTTATATGGAGAGTTGCACAATATTCATAAACTCAAAGAAAGCATTCTACTTTTCCTTCTAATAAACTGGAGTGTTGTTACAGATTAGTGTTCCCTCCACGAACAGTTCACCTAAAGTCAATTAAGTTTGGTCCCTTTTTTGTCCCATCTTTTAAACTTATGACCATCATCAGTGCCATCATTCCCCAATTTCCATTAGTATTTGTCTCATTTTAATAACCATTTTTTCCATCACTATTGCCAAAATGGTATATAATTCCTACAACTAGATGAGTTAAAGCATGAATTTTATCACCTGCCCAGATAACTAGAGATAGAACCAGTTCCTAAAATGGGGGGAAAAAAAACAGAATAATTTATTGTAATTTGAAAAATGGAATTTTTTTCTAGTGCCAAAAAAAATCTAAGTTCACCTGTACACTTAAAGGAGACATCTACTGCAGCACGCAGGCCCCAGTGATCGCCTGTTATGGCCCAGCATGTGAATGCTTCCAAAGGTTGCTGAATCCTTGTACCCACCCTCTCTTCTGTTCTTGGCATGGTAAAAGACCTCATGACATTAACCATCCTCTTAATTGTCCTTTCAGATGTAAGGTTTGAATTGCAGTATCCAAGATTTTGTTCCCACTTCACTATTACACACCTCTCATTCAAACAGGTTGGAGAAAAATCACAGTGTATATTTTTTCCTCACCTGTCCAGAACGAGGTCTGGAGCAAAGATAAGCTTGCCAGGGTGATCAATCGAGCGCCACATCAGCCCCAACATTAACACCTCCAGCCAGCAGCTCTCCAAGAGCCGCACTTGGTCATACAGACTGAGCTCCACAAAGCCTGGGGAAAGCAAGAGGCCATGAGACACACCCGCCTCTCCTCCTCAGCTCCCTGTTTCTATAGAAACAGAACAACAAGTTTTAAAAAGCTAAGAAAGCACAAACAATACAAAGAAACAATATTATAAAGATGTGGTTAAATGCTAGTCTAAAAAGCCCTTTTGAACTTAAGGGGTACAATTCGCAATTTTAAGCCTTTTATCACTCTAGAAACAAATATAATTTAGAATTTACAAAGGGATGTTGCCTGGATATAAACAAACTCCCCACACAGATGCTAGAGAAAAAAAACGCTGGCACTGACTGTTAGTTATATCCTAGTAATTCCTCTACACCAGTAAGAAAAATAATGCTCAGCTGCTATACAGAGGGTTGTCCTACCTGGCCTAGTTCATGATTAGGGCCAGTAGGAATGGGTTTGGGACACTGGGTGTGGGGGATGTGTAGAGAGAACAGCACCAGTCACAGCAGAAAATTAAAACTTTAAGTGAAATGATTTCTCCAATTGCCTAAAATTTCGCATCAGTGTCAGAATCATTCTTCTGAGTAGGACACTGTTACTGGGCTCTTCTATCAGGAAAAGCAAATGTAACAATGAAGGGAGATTCGACAGACTGAAAGCCTAGTAGTGTGTGTAGATCATAGAACTGGAAGAAACAGGTAATCTCGAAGGAGGTAAGCACTACAAAAGTAAAGCAGGGATCACTGGTGCTTCCTCCACAAGCCCTGGTCAGAGAAGGCAGTGTAATACAAATATAGCTACCAAGTGCATGGCCTTGGGGTATAATGGATTATAGTTAAGAGTCCCAGATCAACCTCTTCCTAGTCAGTTACTTAATCTCTTTTTAAGTACATTTTCTTATAGGGAAAAAATTAGGGTAATAATGCCTACCTCCGACAGTTTCCTTAACATAGGATCTCTTATTCTCACTGTACAGATGAGGAAGCTATGGCTCAGTAAGCACATGTGGTTCAAGTCTTTGAACAATTATGATGCAAATCTGCACAAAGAACTCGATGGAGGAAGAATGGAAAGATGGCTAAATCTTTTCCCATGCTCAGTTCAAGCTTTTAATATGTATACATGTACCAATCTTATTGTGGGTGGGGGGAGATGACCTGAACAAACTCCACAAACATGGGTTTTATGGACTCCAGCCCCACTCCAGAACCAAAGAGATCCAAGACACCAAGAAATACAAATCCCATGTTATCACCACCCAAGGGAGGGTGAGGGTGAGGAACTGAGGGTGGAGCTAAGGAGCCAGGTTTGGTATCTAACCAGACATGAGGGCCTTGGGGTCCTTTTCGCTGGTTCTCAGTGTGCTAGTTGGGGATTCCAGCCTGACGAATCTGAACACATTCACCAACTTCTGTTTCTCTTTCTTCCTTCACCTTCCCTTCCTTTGTAAATAAACCCTTTAATAACTTTTTTGTTTGTGCCTGCAGTTGAGTCTTATTGTAAGCGCACAAGTGAGGATCCATAGTCAGGCAATCCATTTCATATCGGGATTGCCCTGTAACAACCTCACCCACAGTTACAGACAACAAACCAATCCAAGAGAGATCAAGCTTTTTATACTTATAAGTGTTGAACAAGATGAGATCTAGATGATATTTTAATATTTGTTTGGTTTGGACAATGACTATGTCAGCTAAGGAACGGGAACAGGAAATCACATCTAAACTATGCCAAATTTTTCTGAAAAAATGTTCAAAATACCAGGCTTGATGAAATGTAACAGGGTGGTCCCCAGGAAAAAGGGGATGTTCCAGTTTCCTTGCCCCAACCAAGGGAGGGTGGAGCTGAGCAGGAGGAGAAGCAGCTGGAAAGGAGACTGGAGTAGGAAGGAGGCAGGATGAAGAGCAAGAAGGAGACCTGAGGGAGGCACATGGAGCACAGGGACATGTGAAGAAACGGTTTGCTTCTTGGTCCTAGACTGGTTAAAACAGATGTGGGTGAGAGAAAGAGGAGGTCAACAGTGGGAGCTTTTATCTTGATTTTGATTTTGCTCTCTTCCTCCCATACTTGTCTGTCTGTTTCTGACCCTGTTCTATGGGTCCCTGCCAGAAGGTGCTTTAGATTTGTGGCAGACTTTTGAGCCTTGCTTTGGGCCAGTCCTATTTGGCTCGACTCTGACCCACGAGGGGATAAATAACTTTGGGTGCTAGATTTGGAAATTAGATTCTTTGTCTTGTCTGTATTGCACACTTATTGTACTAAAATTCTTTCCATTAAAGGTCTTATGTGTTTTGTCTCGATGCAGTGAATGGCAGAAACTATTTAGAGCAGGAAGGTTTGGGGGTTCTGGGCTGCCCCTCTCCCTGTGCTGTAATAGACGGAATACATGTAAAGCAAAAACTGGAAGAAACTGCATCAGTACTGTCTCCTCTCAGAAAGTGCAGAAGAAAATAAAATAGTTCTAGAAAGGGTGACATTGCTAAATTCTCAAAAACAAAACTGGAAATCAGAGAATCCTCAGGAAGCTCAAGAAGCCAAAAATGACCCCCAGAAATACTCTTATTCTAATCTCCATTCCCAAAGCTATTTACTTTGACAGACTTCACCCAACTTCTCACCCTTCCTAACTCAGTTTGCCTAACCCAATGGCTGCTCCCAAACCATGGGAATTGTCTCTTAGTGACTTAGAATTTGGAGAGGCCCTATTTCTCATACAAATGTAAAATATGTACAAGGAGAAACCCTTTCAGGGGATGACAGATTGCTGCCATTCTAGAATCTAGAATCCCAGACTCACTCTTTCACAGAAGCCATCAATTCAAATAAGTAGGTAGTAATTTTAACACAATGCAGTATTTCCGGTCCACATTACAAATCAGTCTATGGAAGTGACATCACAGGATGGAAAATGAAGGTTCCAAATGACAGCTCATGATGACATTCCAAGTTTATTAATGATTTCTGTCACTTCAGTTTCTAATTTTTCTATTTGCTTATATTCATCTTTGTACATAATACTGATTATATCTCTATTAGAACAATATTTTACAAATTCCTGTTTTGCATTGGACAAGTTTCACTTTCCTACTATTCATTCCTTATCCCATGCTGTCCTCACCTAACCATAGCCCTCCTTCCCAGGCAAGGAGCCCACAATCAAGATACAAATGAATGTGGGGCTTAGATCCCTTCTTTTTAGACCATATTCCAGGTTCCAGGACCCTTTCATCATTTTTCCCAAATGGTCCCTTTGAATATACTTCCAGAACCTGGATGGGTCTCTTCCCAGAACATATCTAGCCATGACAGGTAACCAGTTGGCTGGTGTCCATAGGTGATATGCACATGTAGGATAGGCTGTTTACAAGGCTGACGAGGATAGTCTGGGGTGGGTCAAAAGAATAGAAAGGGTGCAGTCATATACAAATCCTGTACTGTCATGTCCAGTGAAGAACTCAGATGAGTACAGAATTCTAAATTAGAACACACCTTTAAGAACATGCTGAAAGTATCTATATCAAGGTAGGATGAACATATTTAAAGTTCATAAATAAAATTTTCAAGTTTAAATGTAGAGACAGTTTGCGAACTTCCATTTTGCACTATTGCCTCATAAATTAGGGACAGGCCTTTCTACAATAAGTATAAAGGTGAGACCCAGAAAGCCCTACCTGGAATTTTCTTGGCCCAACCAATCATGTGCACCAGTTCCTTGTCAGCCAGTTTGGTGAGGGACATCATCATGGAGGCCTCAGTGAAGGGCGCGCTAGGCCGGCTCACTAGCACGTTGGGTGGCTCTGCCTCAAGCAGCGTGAGAACCAACTGCTCTGGACTCAGGGCGCTCGGCAGCAGTTCCTTCACCCGGGTCACATGTCCACTATTTTTCTTGGATTTGCTCAGGCAATGCAGCTGCTCATCAGAATTTCTCTGCCTACGCATTATACGATACCCACACCTTTCTCTCCGGGAGCCTAAAGCAGAAAGCAGATGATAATATAGTGCTTTCTCCATCTCTTCCCCAATCTAGAATTCAAGTTCCCTGAGTCACCAGGGTAACAGTGAAGCAATGATATTAGTGTAAAACCTAAGGCTATTTTTAGAATGTGTCTTAGAAGAGAAGACCGGCTTATTTTCTGGAGGCTGTGGGGTATGTACCAAAGATTACTGCAATTATGACTCCAAAAGCAACATGACCTTTTAGAGACAATAACCCAAATAACCTTAACATCTCCACTTCAAGATCATCTATTTCACTTTTTGAAAGTGCTAACATACCTCAACCTCCAAAAGATGAATATATGAGTTTCTGCAGGTTTTCTGAAGGGACATTTGAAACTAAACAAATATTTCCAAACAGTTGTCAAATAATATACTTTCATATGCTTAAAATGTTTATGTGAATGCCTGTATATGTATGTGTATATACACACTTCATACACAAATAATTTTTCAAATAGTAAATTGGAAAATTAGAAGAGCACATCTTAGTAAAAATTACTTAGAGAAACTGCTTTTATGCTATCCCATATTTTATAAATTAAATAGCATCAGAGTGTATATATTATGTTATAAGCTGCTTTTTCTCTTTATGACATTTTCAAATAGATCACTCAGAAAACCAACAAGGAAACAATTATATTAAATGGCAAATAATATGAGGTGAGCCTCAATAGAGTTAGATCTTCTAACTAAAAACAATACACAGTCATCTCAAGTGCACATGGAACATTATTGAGGGTAGACAATATGTTGAGACACACAACATCTCAATAAATTTATGAAGGTTGAAATCAAATCAAGCATCATTTAGAACCACAATGGTATGAAATTAGAAATCATCAAAAAGAAAAAAAGAAATGAATATGTGGAAATGAACTAATGTGTGATTGAACTATAGTGTCAATGGGGAAATCAAAGGAAAAATCAAAAACCACCTAGAAAAAAAATTTTAATAAAAACAAATGTCACCAGGACCTGTGGGAAGCAGCATAAATAGGACTAAAAGGAAATTGTATAGCAATATAGACTTACTTCAAGAAACAAGAAGAATCACAAATGAAAAATTTAACCTTATACCCAAAGAACTAGAAGGAAAAAATGAGGCAAAGATCAGTAAAAGGAAGGTAATAGTAAAAATTAGAGCAGAAATGAAAGACCAACAAGACAGTACAATGTATCAATGAAACCAAGAGCTGGTTCCTGAAAAAGATAAAACAGCAAAACTCACAATAGAGAGAAAACAAAATAAAAAACAAAAGATAAATTTACAACAGATACTACAGGAAGGATTATAAAAGTATTATAAATAACTATGTGACAACAAACTGGAAAAATCTAAAAGACATAGACAAATTCATAAACATACAACATTCTAAAACAGAATCAGAAAGAAAAAATTTGAGCTGACTGCTCACAAGTAAGGAGACTGAAACAATAATCAAGTCTTAAAACAAACAAAAAAAAAACCCAGAAGTCCAGAATTAGATGTCTTCCTTGGTGAATTCTACCAAACTCCCAAGAATTATTACCTAACCATCTCAAACTTTTCTAAAAAATTGAAAAGAAGGGAAAACTTTCAAATAGTCTATGAAGTCAACATTCCACTGGTTCCAAAATCAGATAAAGACATCACAGCACAAGAGAAAACAGAAGACCAATATTTCTGATGAAATAGATGCAAAAACCCTCAATGAAATACTAGCAAACAGAATTTAATGATATATTAAAATAATTGTATGCCATAATCAGAAGGGATTTACCCCCATGGATGCAAGTTTAGTTTGATATACACAAATTAACATGATATGCCACAACAACAAAAGCACAAAAATCATGATATTTCAATATACTCAGAAAAAAGCATTTAATAAGATTCAATGACTATATGTAATTTTAAAAAAAATTCAACAAATAGAATACATCTCAACACAATAAAGGCATGTCTGACAAGCCCAGTTAATACCATACCCAACTTCATACAATATAAAGCTTTAAGACAAAATAATTATTAAAAACTCACCAATAAATTATAAAAAGGTATTTCTAACTCATACACATCAAACAATAAGAAAATAAAACCTACAAAAAAAAACAAAAAAAGAGAAGAGAATTTGACAGATACATTATTGCAATGGCATTTTAATATCTCTCTCTCAGCAACTGACAGTGCAAACAGATGAGGAAATCAGAATATAGAACATTTTAACTGCGCAACTAATTACCTCGATCTACAGAAATTAATGGACAGTTGCAAAAATTATCAGAACGATCATAAACAAAATCTTAAGTTGATTTTGTAATCATTCTCTAACCACATACAATGAAAATTGAAAACAATAGAAATATAACTTCAAACTCTTGTAAACTAGAGCATAAAAATATCTCTAAAACAGACTAGAGATAAAAAGATATAATAGAAATTATGGAAAACAGGTTTAAATTAGAAAATCATTAGCATGGAAACTGTTAGATGAATTCTCCCATAAAAACAATCTACAAGTAAAATCCTACACAATCCCTACTTTTCTATACAACCCCTATTATGTTTGTTCACTAAACTCAATTGTCCATATGTTAAAAAAAATTTTTAGTTAGGAAGTATGAGCATATTTAAATATTGACTTCCAAGAAAATATATCAATACAAGGAACGGCTGTTTCCATCTACGGGTTTTTAAGTCAAATTTATTGCTAAAAGAATTAAAAGCCTAAAACATTTTTTATCAATAATCAGAATGCTGTAGATATTTAATATCAGTTATATCCCCAGGGTAAAATGTAACAAAATGTATTTAAGAAAACACTTTTCTGATCACACATTTGTTTTTGTAGAATATATGAGGATAAGGAGTTTACAAAGCAAGTTTACATACAAAGTAAAAGGTCTTGAATCCATACATTCATGTATTTTTTTATCTACTTTCACTCGCAGTCCTATGTATACTAAGTAAGTCCTTTACTGAGTCCTGAGGATTCTAGATACAGCACAATAAAACCCTTAGTGAGGAAGGAGCTCACATTCCTCTATGAAGAAAATTTCTAGTGTTGTGGCTTTGACACTGTGACCTAGGTAGAGTCACTCTGTACTTCTGAGTGAAGTTATGTGAAACTGCTAAATAGGGGTTCCCGATATTAGAAGGTGATACACATAGTCCCAGAAAAAAGATGATGATGATGATGATGATGATGATGATGGTTGTAAATGAAAATAGTGGCAGCTAACATCAATTGGAAGCATCTATGTGCAGACACTGTGTACTGAACATAGATATCTCATTGTGACAACCCCCTAAGGGCAGGTGCTATTACTATTTCTAATGTACAGAGGAGGAACCAGGTACAAGAGGCCTCAGGTAACTTGCCAGGGGAAGAAAAGCTAGGAAAGGGCAGAGGCAAGATATGAACCCTAGCAGTCTGAAGACAGTTAGTACTTTAAACTTCCTATCAAATTCCTTTCACCAGTACATATAGTAAATGAAGAGATGGCACCTAAACAATGTAGAGATACAGTCCTATCTCAGGAATACGACCAAATACATGGACATTCAGGCTATATTCCTGCTTACTTACATTTCAGTGTATCCTTACAATGAAGCTCTGTCCCTGAAGTGAGTCTGGATTGATAGCCCTCCAATAATATTAATACTTCAGTAGGAAAGAGAAGATTGGAAATTCAGAAGAAAAAGGTAATTCAATGGAGTATGTGTAGGATTACTAAGGCATCAGTGGGATATGGTGTGAAAATAAACATTTGTAGAGGTTTAAACCTACAATCCCCAATATTCAATGATGTAAACCAACTTTACCTCAATAAACAATTTTTTAAAAAAAGAAAAAAGATGATTACAGAAGTCATGATTTATGACTAAAAAGAAAACTTGTAAGATGTGTATAAGAGGATGTGGAATACAGGCCAAATCCCTAGTCCTCCAAGATGGATAGAAGAGAAGAATGTGGATGGAGGGTATGGGAAAGGCAGATGAGAAGAGTGCTGGGAAAGGAGTGGGGAATGGCTGAGAAGATTCATGCCTATGGTCTTTTCCTGTGGTCAGCAAAGAATTAAATATCCAGTCATTTTCATGCTAATCACCTCCTTTCTTCTGTAATCTCCGATTTTTTTTTCTTCAGAGAGCACTACCCAAGGACATTATTCAATGACCCTTTCTCTCATTCCCTTTTCCATGAAAACTTTTCACTACATTTCTGCACTTTGCCTTTTGAGACTGCATTGTGACATAACTCATATGACCTTTTCAATGAGGGAGAGTAAAAGGAAAGCAAGCTAAAATTGAGTGCCAGACACTGTGCTAGGTCTTTATATATGTTTCCTAGTGTAGCCTCACAAAAGTCAGGGAGGCTGGTATCTACACCTCTGAGGTAAGAAAATGGAGGATCAGAAATGTCAAGCCATCTGTGTCACAGTTAGTGAAAATAAATAAAATCTGAGACTCCCAGAGCCTGAGAGGCTAGTCCGCAAAGATCTTCCAACCTACAAGCTGAATGTACATGTACTGCTGACCATGGTCCTGAAATATAGGGACTACAGCGGCCCAAGAAATCCTGCTACAATAAAGGCATTCTTGTTCTAAGATTAGTATTTCACTACATCTTTGCATACACACACACACACACACACACACACACACACCACCTGTGTATATTATATACTCAGCTTAAAATACTGTTTGAGGTAAAATATGAACCATATTTGTGATCTTTTGTCAGATGGCCAAGGTTTTTACTTTAAGCACCTCTGCCAATTTAAATCACAGTACTCCCCCCAACTCTCATGTAAACCACAACCATGACACATGACACTCTAGATTTTCAGCTTCTTTCAAACAGGCCACAAAGTGAGGCACTCATAAAGCAAACACTAATAAAATTTAACTTATATGTGGTATATAGTGAGCTAAAGATGAGATGAACTAAAATAAAACAAAAATAAGCTTCTGAATCATTATCATACCACTTAAATTATAGGATGTTCTTCCCTTATATTTGACCAAACTCTACCTCCTGTCATTTATTCCCATTCACTTTACTTTTGTCCTCAACACTATAGGGTAGTACAGGTTATGCCCCAATGTGACAGTGTGCAAATACTTTAAGATCATGACTAAATATCCTTTCATCCAAGTTCTATGTCCTCAGTGCCCCAGACCATCCTCACTCTGACATTGCTTTCAACATGTCTCACAATAAAAATGGACATGACCACTCACCACACTTGACCATTCCAACTTCATAACACTTCCGAAGTCGGCAGGCCTGGCAGCTTTTGCGCCTGTTCTTATCTATAGTACACTGATTTGTAGCTGGACAAATGTAATCATTATGTCCTACAGCAGAGGAAAAAAAAATAAAGTTTATACTTAAACAATATTTCAATTAAATTTCCTTCTAGTCAACAACTAATACTGCTATCCTGCTGAGGAATAAAGTACATGTTAATGACAGATACAGGTACAAAGACCAAAGTTGAGTCTCAGGGGTGCCTTATTGAGTAAAGGAAACCTATAATTATTACCTATTCTGGTTTTTGACTAATTGGCTATTCTTTGCATGTTCTTACAATTCTCAAGGGATCATTTAGAGATATTATTACCCTTTGGACATGGAAACTGAGAATGGCCTAGGATTGATTTGCTCCATATCACAGAACTCCTTAAAGACTTGTACTTGTGTATTACCAGGTTCAACTGCTATGATTCTTTTACATCTATCCCTCTTTTGAGATTTAGCATGGCATTTTCATAGGAATTCACAGTCAAGTACAGATTAAACTGGTCGATAAAAGGACAAGTGAAGAAATTAGTAAACAAAGTAACTGTTGACAATGGTTCTCAGTTCTTCACTCCCTCGTCCTTCTGATCTTGCAATTATAATTATCCATCGACTGAAACTGAGGAAACTGGCAAATTATCCAGGTGTCTACCAATAGATGTGATGCTCCAACTGTCTGGCTTAGCCCAGGATGCCTCAGGTAACCAGCAATTCAAGGAAAATATGGAGATATGGAACAGCATGAATTCAACCAGAGTCCTGACACAACCAACTCATAAGCCCATAAATAAGAAAAAATAATGTTCATTTTAATAAAGCACTGATTATACAGCAATCTCTAAGATAATCAGGCTTTTCTTCATTCTCTCATGCAAGAAAATAAGAAAACTCCCCTTTTAAAAATTATTTCGGCTGCTGTATTGAGAATGGATTAGAGGTAGGAAAATTGATAGAGGCCTCAAGACCTGGTAAGCATATTTTATTGTTTAAAACAGAGATGAGGTTGCTGTATCAGGTATTGGTAGGGAGGATGGAAAAATCTAAAAGACCTGAGAGTTATGAAATGTGAATTATAAAAAAGTATTTGAAAAGGAAAAGCAATTGGGAATTTGGTGACTACTTCTTGTCTTTTTAATTTTTTTAAGATTTATTTATGCATACAGAACTGGGATACAGGCCAGAGGTACAGAGGTGGTGAGAGGATTCACTAGAGACAGAGTGGGGAGAACAGGTGGACTGACGAAGTATACTGCTAAGGGGAGCAGCAGGTGGGTCAGGAGAGGTCTGCCGCGCCATGTGGGTCACCTCCGGGGTGGGGATCAAACTCAAGCTGAAGTGGCTCTAGCTTCTTAGTGCTGTGCCTTAACCTGCTGCATGACCAGAGAATGCCCTTAATTGCCTTTTTAATGAATAATATGACCTGAATTTCTTACATTAAGCCTACAATGGTCCAGAATTTCAATATTGGAAATGAATCTGTGATAAATGAGAAGTCATAAAAGAAACAACTCACAAAAGAATAAAGAGAATACTCCATTCATGTAAAGTTCAAAATGGAGAAAATGATATTTTTTAGAGAAGCATGCATAGGTGGCAAGGAAGGTAGAAGTTATGATTATCTTACTTCTGGAGAGAGGAAAAGAAGCTGGGACAAGCAGCATCACCCAGGGGGATTCTGGGGCTCTGGAGATAGCTAATGTCATTTCTTGAGCATTAGTTATACAGGGGTTTGTTTCAGAATCATTCTTTTAAAATTATTACTAAATAACTCTAAATTTAAAAATTAATCTTTAAATTATATACATCTGTGTATTCATGTATTTCATGTCCATATATATTTCCATACATGCAAGCACACACACCCTACATACCGAAATAAGTATATTCCTTAACTATCCCCTGAAAGCACCTGGGATGTCCTAAGAGCTATGAGGAAACTAGCACTTGTATCTTGGTTTGTAAATGTTCCCCACCAAAAGGAAATAGGGCTCCTTGGAGAAACAGCTTATTCCAACACTGAACAGAAAATAAAAGGTAAGCCTCAAATACCTTGTGTCAGAAGTAAAGAACAGTGCATGAATTATAGGACAAAAAAGGAAACAGCAGCCAGTTTAAGGGGCTCCTTAGTGGCCAAATCTGGGACAATGTGAACATCCAAATTAGACAGTAGTAATGCAACAACCCTCATTTCCCATGGAGGATTGTAGCATTACTACAATCTAATCTCACACTTGTCTAAACTGTGCCATGTGTCCTATTAGTGCCATCTGCAGTACTGTGCATGTCACTGTTAAGTCTTTGGCCTCTGTCCTTTAGTCTAGAATAATTTTTCAGTGTTGTGGCTATATAGGAAATACAAGTTAAAATAATGGGAGGTAGGGAGGAGAGAATGAAAGAGGGGTATAACATTGGTAATCTATTCTCAAATTATTCAAGGGGAAAAAGGATTATGTTGCATTTGCATATTTTCATATACTAAGTTTGAGATTCATTGAAGAAAGTACTCCCATTGATTTCTCAAACAAAATAGCTAATTCATGAAAATATATACAAATATCCATACACTAGTGAAATTTATCTATATTCCAAATACCAGTGCTTTAAGTCCTAAAATTAACTTTACTTTTTCCAACTCATCAAATTTTAAACTGCCCCCTCCAAATCATGGTTCCATGTTTGGATCATAATCAAGTTTTATAATCCTCCCCCACTTTATGTAGATTCCAGTAACATTTGTTCAACAAAACAAACAAAAATTCAGTTGTTTGTAGCTTTATCACTACACCCTGAGGTGGCTGGCACAGACTACACAACTCTAGGAGCATCAGAATACACATCACTCCCAGGGAAGCACCAACCACTCTCTCAAGTGACCATCCACAGGAGTCACGTACAGGAAACAAAACCTGCCCCCACCTATTCATCAACTATTCATCAACATTTTACTTAATCCCATTTTATAAGTAAAAAAACAAGCTCAATTCATTTGTCTTTTTAAAGTTTTGGTTTCTATGCCACTTAATATGCTGCTATGAACTTATAAGCTTAAAACCAAACAAATGTATAATCTCATGGTTTCCAGGAGTTAGAAGTCCAGATACAGTGCAGCTGACACTCTGCTCAAGGCCTCATTCAGCTGCACTCAGATGATGGCTGAACCAGGGTATCATCTGAAATTCAGGTCATCTTCCAAGTTCATTTAAGTTATTGATAGAATTAGTCCCTTGCCATTATGGGACTGAGGTTCCTGTTTTCTTGCTACCTGTTGGCTGAGTACTGCTCTTAGCTCCCACAGGCTCTTGCTATTCTTTGTCCAAAGGCAGTTCACAACATGCCATTTGCTTTCTTCCATTCCTGAAAGAGCTATATAATGTAATCTACCCAAGGGCGCAACTCCACCTTATCTTCACAGTGGTTCTATAATACTCAAGAATAGGTAAGATAAGGTGGGTTTTTAAATTTTTAAGGGGAAATATTATCTTGCTATTGCTTTAATTCTCATTTATTCAAAAAATTCAATTATTCTTTATAATTCTAATGTCTTCTGATGTAAGTTATGTTTTTAAAAGCCAAAGTATATTTATAATCAGACATTTTCTATTGTATTTTAGGGCACAGTGTTTTATAGTTAGAAAGCCAATATGGTCCCACAATGCTTTCCATAGCAATAGCAATCTTTTCACAAATGAAAAAATTCTAAGAATTTTACATGATGGTATCCTTACTGGTTTTATAAGATTCATAACAATAAACATTTAAAGGACAACTAATGGTTCTTTTTCTCAGCACTTATTTCATGCTCAATTTAAAAATTGCCTAGAAAATGTCTTATTCAAGAAGGTTAGGTAACTGACCTCACTTCTGGCAAAAAGAAAAAGTAGTCCTCCTCAAACCTCACCAACTAAAGCGGGTTTCTTTCTCTCATGCAATAGTTCAAGAAGATATTTCATACTAACAGAACCAAAAGGAAAGTTCAAGCAAAAATATGTAACTCTTTTAAGTTAAAATATAAAATTTTACTGGTAAATGCACTTTTATAGTTAAAAAAGGTTTTCTTTGTCCTCTCTGCAAGGGTATTAAGTCTGAACACATATTAATATCCAACTTTATGAAAGGAAGTGACAACTTTGGACTTCAAATCAGAAGACCTGATTTTAATCTTAGTCTTCCAGTTGTCTTAATTTAAAAATAGAGCAATGTTTATCACCAACATCCTCCCAGTACTATTATACTTCCACAGCAGGCATCTACCTTGTGTTTTGTTCCCTTAGGAAATCCTTCTCAGTTCAAGGTCAAATGAGTCTCAAGTAATGGAATATATGTCTCTAAAATGAATCTTCAATATAGCTTTTAGGCTACTAGAGCTTCCCCCTTAAAACTCAGTTTCTGAAGTCTTAAGAAGTAGAGTTGAAGGTTCATGAGCTACAAATAGATTTTAACTATCAAAGGACAATAGCTAAAGGTCATTCTGAATATAAAAATGAAAATGAGTTGTGAAATAAAACAGTAATAATTACTACTACATGTGGCCATAAAATAAGCAGACAAAAGAAAAAAAAATTATGGAAAGTGTGTCAGATACCTATAAGATTAATTTTATATGTAAAAAACCTAAATAAGTAGATATCTAAGATGTTTCTGATGTGTAGTCTTTTACAATGATTCCTCAGATTAAAAATACTAGTTTCCTCCCATTAAGGATGGGAAGTCACTTCATACAATTATTCTAATTTTTTTTTAAAAAAGATTTATTTGTGCATACAGAACTGGGGTACAGGTCAGAGGTGCCGGGGTGGTGAGAGAATTCACCAGAGACAGTGGGGGGGCAGAACAGGCAGACTGTCAAAGCATACTGCTGAGGGGAGCAGCGGGTGGGCCAGGAGAGGTCTGCCACGCCATATGGCTCACCTCTGGGGCAGGTGGGGATCGAACTCATGTGGAAGTGGCTTTAGCGTCTTAGTGCGGTGCTTTAACCCGCTACACCACCAGGGAGGGCCGTATTCTAATTTTTTAATATAATTATTCTAATGTTTGTCATAAGAAAAAAAAGGGGAGAAAACAACTTTTTAAAATGGGAAGCATGAATATTGATAGGTATTAAATTTCATGATAAATTTACTTAAAAGCATAAGGTACTACACAAAAATGGTAAGTCAACAGATGACTATTTTTTTCAACAAACACAAGATACTCAAAGTATTAGTAATCATGAACATGCAAATTAAAACCACAATGAGATATAACTATTCCCAATGAAAAGCTTAAAATTTAAGATTTAAGTTTTGACAAGGTTATGGAACAATAAGAACTTTCATACATCACTGCTCATTAATAAAAAAAATGGTTCAAACACTTTGGAAAATAGTCAGCTATGTTTGCATGTCAGTTAAGTATACACTTTATCACACAAGTGACATGTTTACTCCTAAGTATTTAGCCAAGAGAAACACAAAAATATCTACAAAAAGAGATATGCTTACATATTTATAGCAGTTCTATTCAAAATAGCACAAAACTTGAACTCAAGTGAGCAAAATGTGGTATGCCTGTATAGAATTGGAATATTACTTAGTAAGAAAAAGAAATGAATTACAGATAAATAAAACAGATAAATATTAAAAGCATCCTTGTGAGTGAAAAAAAGATTATATATTCGTGATTCAATTATGACATTCTAGCAAAGGCAAAATGATAGGGACAGAATATGCATCTTACTCATGCAGTGTTGCAAACTAATGTAGCCTCAATTTAAAAAATCAAAAAATAAACCAATATGAATAAAATTGACCATTTAAGAGAAGAACATTTTTCTCATTTCATTCAATACCCTAAAAGAATTCAGCAGTCACTTTCAGTTATTACAATGTGTTTATATCACAGGGCACACAAGTGTGAAGAGTCCAAAGAAATAATCATTGAAGGATCAAACCATTATTAAGAACAATAACTCTTTCCCTTTTGCACATTTAGAATGTGACATCCCTTCCCCTTTCTTCTTAATACATTCTTGGCTGATGCTGTAAGAAAGACATGGAGAAAGTGGGGGAAACTTAATTTTCATTGTGATCAGCTACTGTCTCCAATTCAAAGATATTTCAAGCAAGAAAGATTTTCTTCCAACATCGAACTAAAAGGCTCGTTTCAAAGATGCATTTAGTTGTAGTTGGTCAAAATTTCCTTAAGGGATTAATTCTGTAACTTCAGTAAGGTAGAGAATGGCTATCATATCAAGAGTTCAATTCTGAATTTAAGAAAATTTGAGTTATTTTTATCACACATAGCAGGAACCTGGACCTAACCCTATAAAATACAATTATCTGGCTTCCCTGGTGACCTGGGGTTAATTTTCAATGCTATCACTGCTATGGCCTGAGTTTGAGAGGGAACTAACCCACACATGGTGAGGCAAACCTCTCCTGTCTCACCCACTGCTCCACTTAGCAGTGTGTTTCTGTCAATCTGCCTGTTCTGCTCCCCAATCTGTCTCAGTTGAATACTATTACAGCCTCCACCCACCATATGCACCCCAGTTCTTCTACACAAAATAATTGACTTTTAAAAAAATTAAACTACTACTACAATTACCATAAATATAAATACTTAATCACTGAATATGTTAAATGTAGGATGAAAAACTATTATAAAAGCAAAAATTTTTCTGGTAATAGTTGATGATAGATGCTTCCTTTTATGTGTTGTTTTCCGTTTTAATGAGAAAATTTGGAAATAATGGACAGTGTTATACCTAACTATGAAAACCTTAGAGGAAGTAGAGTAAATAAGATTAGAAGAGTAATAACAAAGAAGAAAACAAAGATTCTTTACTTTCTATTTCTGAATAGAGAACCATTAGAATACTAGAAAATCTTAAATTTGCATGTTTAAATTGACCAAGTATTTTCACACAACCAATTTCATTTGATTTTTAGAACAACTCTTGAGTGTCTCATTTCACAAGGAGGGAAGATGCTGGGAAGCCACAGAGCTACTAACTAGACGGTCTAGGACAAAGATGGCCATTCAGAGGGTCTATTTACTAATATTCTCCCCCTATCACCCCTGTATTCTAACAGTTTCTCTGCTTAAGGTAAAATGTTTTAATCTACAGTTATGAGTGAGTGAGATAATTTAGTTTATTGATGTTTGCCATCTGTATGCTAGGAATTCCTTTAAGGTTGTTTTCCTTAGCTGGTTAAAAACAAGGTTTTCCTCGAAAAGGGAAGGGCACTCTCAGATAGGAACAGAGGATATTTCCAGGGAGGAGGTATGCTGAGGGAGGGTTAAAGAGCAGAGAGATAGAACATGACTGGTGAATTAGGGCTGGCAAGGACATGTGAAGGGATGAGCAGATCGGCCTTGAAACCAGGTGGAAGCAATTTGAAATTGATTAAAAGGGAGGTTAAAAAACAAGCACCACCCACTCCAGCCAGAATTTGGAGAAGGGTAGGGAAGCAGTCTAAACCCAGACCAGAAAGTAAAGAAACTGAATGTAGGTTCCACTCATCCAGGGTAAGACAGATCTCTAAATCAGCTTTCAAGTCCACTGTAGTTGATTGCTGATTTTAGCCAGTTTCCATAAAGCGTATTTATTCCCTCTTCCTCAGCAGTCAGCCCACCATCATGACTGTTAATCATGTCAGATGTTAAACATAAAATTAAAGGAAGAAACAATCTGCAAATCCTAGCAAACACATTTTTCCAAGAGCTATCTTCTTCCCAGAAAATAATGGGTGGTAGGGGAGGTGGGGAAGACCCATTCGAGTTTGGGGCTGAAATCTGCAATTAAAGATTAAGTGCCCTACACATGAAGCGATCTGTCCCTCCTCTCAGCACACATGCTCTTCTAAACTGCTCAAGTATTCTGTGAACCAAATCACCAAAGATTCAATATCTGCTAAGTCATCTGCAAAATTCTTTGAAAGTGAAACTATAAAATTAAAGCAGCAGCTCACAACACTCTTGTACCTTGAATGCTTCTTTTAAAAAAGGCCTTACATCCTTCACAGGACCAGACTCCATAGTGATATCCTGATGCGTAATCACTGCAGACGGCACAGAAATGGGCATCCTTCTTTGGACTAGTAACAGGGCTGGTGCAACTGCTCCCACTAACCTTCCTTTTCAGTGTCTCTCTGACAAAGAAAACATCCATTGTAAAAGAGCATTAAGGAGAAAAGTGAAACTTTTAATCTCTATGCCATCCAGGGTGCATATGATTATATTCCAAAAATCTGATGAAGCAAAATCTTTGTCACTGTTATCAGGTCTAGGAAGAGTCACATGGTAGAGAACAACCAGTGCTTGAAAGTGGTTAGGTGAGCCATCTTTGCAAGGTGGGTGAGCGCTGGGAACTACAGGCCAGTGACAGCTCCGGAGTACACATTTGAGGGTAGTTAATGACCAGCTTGAGTCTCCTCCTCAGGCAGGAGTAAAGTAGGGCATGCAGTAATCTTCCATAGTTACCAGAGTTCAACATTGCATGGGCAAGACTTAATTCCCCTCACCACTTTCAAGTATCAGTCATTCCCAACAGTTAAACAGTCATTCAGAGCTTCCCTTTAAATGAGGCACAAAAATTTTTATTCTGCAATTTAAGATAAATCTCTAAAATGAAAATACTTTAAGATGAGTAACAAATAGACTACAGGTTATTCTAAGATGAATATTGGTGGGGGTAGCAGGCATGAGGGGGAGGGAGAAGCAGCATTTCATGCAGGAGGCAGGCGCTCAGTGCTAGGTAGAGGGGCAAGGGCATCCACAGAGGAAAGTAAAGTGCAAATTAATAAACTTAATTTCAAGAAATTTCAGCTAAAGTCTACCTTTAAATAGTTTCTTCTCATATTTATAAAATGTTGTTCTAGTTTGTTATAAGACTTGTACCAATTATCTCTCTTCCACGCTTCTCATGTCTAATATTTAAGTTATAATACTGCCAGTTACTTTTATCCTAGAAAAAATTCATTGTAAACATTAAATTGTTATCACAAGGCAAGTCTATCTTGAAAGATTTTTTTAAAACCCTAGTCACTTAATCAAGAGAAAGATGATTTAAGTTCAATTTATATTATCTAAAGACAATACTTTTGATAGTAATATTTCCCACAACCCAGATCAACAATTTCAACTTTTTTTTAAAGATTTATTTATTTATGTACACAGAACTAAGGTACTGGCCAGAGGTGCAGAGGTGGTGAGAGGATTTACCAGAGACAGAGTGGGGAGCAGAACAGACAGATGGACGATGAAGCACACTGCTAAGGGGAACAGTGTGGGTGGCTCAGGAGAGGTCTGCCAGGACATGTGGGTCACCTCCAGGGTGGGGGAACTCACACTGAAGTGTCCACAGCTCACTTGCAGTGCTGCGCTTTAACCCCTTATGCCACCAAGGAGGGCTTTTTAAATAGAATTATAATTTCAACTTTTAAAATAGAATTATATCAAAATATTCTATTATTCAGAATATCATGTTTTAGTTACACAGTAACTTATGAGATTGAAAATAGAGATCATTACAATAAATATCCTCTCACTAAATCATAAAGCTCTGAATGATACCTATGAAATATGATTCAGGATGAAGATTGGGTTTACCTGTTTATAGGCAAGTTATGTTCTAGTGATCTTGCTTCACACCAGGAACTCTTTTGAGGTTCTGCGTATAGAAGTGATGGCTGGCAATGGATGGCTAAAGGAGAGAGATGCCCAGGACTTGGCCACAACACATTTGAACTTGTGGTTTGCTGACCAGGCCCACTTTCGGAATGATTGGAACTACTGGGAATAGTGTAATTCACCACAGTAGGGCTATAGAATGCCATGGCCGAATATTCATGGCGGCTCTCCACATAGGAAGATGGTATATATATGGGGCCATGATCCACTGGCAGAATGGGTTGACTGCAGTTGTAGGAAGCAGGAGAGTTAAGGCTCGATGGTGAATTTTTTATATCCATGTCTTGAATAGGTAGTAGCTGAGAAAACTCCTTGTGAGAAGAGGCACAAAGGGACATTATAATGTCCTTAATGTCACACAGGCATATGTAATTCCTGTAAAGAAAAGCAAAACATTTTCAAGTTAGAGCTATACCTATTTTTTCTTAAGCTATAGAATACCTATTCAGAGTATTCACACTTTTATTAAGATCACACACAAACATTAACCTCACATGAGTAAGAATGTGAGGTATGGACCTCTTTATTTACTTCTTCCTTGCTTTTGTTATTTTTTTAAACTATGAGAATCTGCTGTAAAATACCTTTTAAATTAAAAAAAAAAAGTAAATGAAAATACCAGCAAGGTTTTTTTTGGAGGAGGGAGAGTAAACTAATTAAACTAAGTGGAAAAAATTAAACAAGAAAACCCTAAAAGAGCAGATCAGTGAGTACTGCTAGCACTCATAGATATTCAAATACACTGTGAACTACTGATAGTAAATACAAGGAATAGACAGACCAAGGTAACTGTCTATTATCACTGTAATGCTTCAGCTTTGTATACTCCCTTCAATATATGCCCTATGAGACAACAAAAATTCCTTTACTGTGAACACACTGTTAAACTTTCTCCAGAAAAGGTGCTGCGGGAACACTGCAGGAGAAAGAGGTTGCAATGATTTCTGGCAAGGACAGAAGTTAGCAGTTTAATGTGAGACCATCCAATAGAGCTTATACCAACCACATCCAGAATGAAGTCTCTCTACAAACTTGCAGTTTCAGTGTGGCAATAACCTTTCTGCAGTCACCTGTCCAGACTGTGCCCAGATTAGGCCTTCTTCCAGCAAGCCATCTCGCCCTGAACTTGCATACTCTGAAGACGGCTGTCCCAGGGTGCCTGGGCTCCAGGACATAACCTGAGATGCTGACGACTGTCTCTGCATCTGTATCCTGAGGATAGCTTATTGCTTGCCCAGCAACCACAAACCAGCTCTGCCCTGGTGAAATCAGAGAACATCTCTGCTAATTAGTGGCAGAATCACTTCCTCTGAGAGATCTTAAATCACAATGAAAAAGGCCAAAAATTCAATAGGCAAATAGGCAAAAGATATGAACAGATAGGAGAGAGAAAAAAGGTGGCAAGTACCTCTCAATATTTTAAAAAGGTGTTGGACCTTGTACATACCACATACAAATTAAAACTACACTAAAATACCACTTGTCACTTACCAGGTTTGGCAAAAATTCAAATATTTGAGAACAGACTCCCTTGCTGAGGCTATGGAAACATAGGGACTGTCTCCTGCATTGATGGTGGGAGTACAAAATGGTACAACCTCATGGGATTTAGCAATATACAGCAAAATTAGATGTGCTTTTATCTTTTGAACTATGAGTCCACAGTGACATTCAAAAGAAAAAGGAAAGCCTTTGCTGCCATTGCAACTGATTACAGTATCAGTTTCTCGCTCTGAAAATCAGCAATTAAGGGAAAAGAATTAAGCCTGTACCCTGCCTTTTAAAGAGGATCTGTAATTTATACCAAGATATAAGAGAAATTCTTCTTTACAAAAGAATGTCAAATAAATAGTTCAGAAGCCTTTGGAAAGAAAGTAGATGTTGAAATACACAGCTAGACTAGTGTACAGTAAACAGAAATTATCAGGGTTTTCCCGCCCTCCTGCCATTAGCATCAATGATCGACACCTGTGGGCTTACTCGTATGCCTGATGTGAAGTGTGGTATGGGCATGTGTAAGTGAACAAAGCTGAGCCTGTAATACAGAACAAGGTAGCAGAGGGCTGTGCGTGGGAGAGCAATGGAGAGCATCAGAGAACAGCTACGAGAGGAAAGAACATATCTGGATTTGCCCGGGGGCCCAAGTTGCTGTCTCCCTGCTGGCTTGTCTCCTCTAACCTGTGGGGATGATACCAAGGCTCCAAGATTCTTTTTCAAACTGCCTGAACCAAGATGAACCTATCCAGCCTGGGATAGTTACAGAACAAATAGATAGGGCAAATAAGTCAAAATGTTAACAATTACTGCATGTAGATGGTGGGTGGACGCATGCACACTTATATCAGGCTTCTCACTTTTCTGTAGGTTTGAGGTTTGTTTTTTTTTTTAATCCAAACGGTTTATTATGAAAAATGAAATAGAAAAGAAAAGGACACTTGCATAGATACAAGTGGGCAGAAAGAGCTGCCTCCAAAAGGGACAGTTTTGCTAAAAAGGGGCCTGCAGAGTCGCAGGTGGCAGCCTTGGGAGGCTAGCTGCTTTGTAAAGGAGAGGGTCAGGGAAGAGAAGCACCAGCATGGTAACAGGTCACAGGTCACAGGTGGGCAGGAGGACCTCTGTTCTTGCTCTACTAAAGGAAAAGGTTGGGAAAGAGAAACACCTGCATAGTCACAGGTGGGCCCTGTGAGACTAAAAATGGAAGCTTAAAAAAAGTTTAGAAAGCTGAATAACATGATCCATTAATAAAGAAAATTGTCTTTAGAAGTTCAGTAAAGAAAATTGTCTTTAGAAGTTCTCCATCTTCAATATTTCAGCTACTTCCTTATGTAGGCAACATGGTTTCCTAAAGCTGTGACATTTTCATTTGAAGCTGTTTGTGTTCAAAACACAAATTATCTATAGAGGTTTTATTTTTGTTTACCATCACAACCTCAATTTTCAGTTCAGTCTTTAACTCTCCTCCCCCCAAAAGGCGGAGTCTATCCTCCCCCTTACTTATGGGTTGGATTCAGTAGCTCATAAAGTAGTAACTTCTAAGTTTTAAAAAATTCCAGTATATTTAAAATTAAACTTATCATCTTAAATCATTTTGAAAAGTACAGTTCAGTAGTGTTAAGGACAGTCACACTACTATCCAACCAACTTCATACTATAGAACAGCTCCCCTGTGCTTTCCTACCCTCAGTCCCTGGAAACCACCATTCTACTCTGTTTCTATGGATTTGACTACTCATTACCTCACATAAGTGAAATCATACAGTATTTGTCTTTTTATTGACTTACTTTGTTTACCATCACAACCTCAATTTTCATCCATGTAGCAAATATCGGAATATCCTTCCCTCAAAAGTTGAATAATATTCCACTGTATGCTTAGGCCACAGTTTGTCTCTCAAGGAAGGGTTTTCAACAAATGCTTGAAAACATTTGTAGAACCATAGAAATGACCTAGGTTTAAGTGGTTGACTATAGGAAAGACCAAAGGAATTGGCATTTTATCAGGTCACTGATAAACTTTAGATGGCAACTCCAGGGCTGACAGTATTGCGATCCTACTTCCACCTGTCCTATTTCAACCCACCTACACACTCAGCTGCTCACTGTGCTTATCCTTTTGATATTGTCTTGGCAATTGTATTTTAGTACACTGCTTTTGCTATATCATATGAGCACTTCTTGCCAAATGCAGTTGAACACAACTTAAGCCATATACATTATAACAATTGAAAAGCAAAATACTTAGGGTAACATGTGTAACCAATTATATTCAGGAATTATAAAGTGGAAACTGGTGGTAACAATTAAATTTTGTATGATATTTAAAGCTACATCAAAACAAGTTGGTTTATCTAATAAATAAAAAGCATATCCAAAGGTTAGTGTGGTCCACCAAAGTGCTACTTAAGGTAAACTAATAAGAACAAATTCAAAAATCTTAACCATCAAATGAAGATCAAGTTATATTCAGGAAATTATGAAGTGGGAAAGCAGTGAATTTTGGACTAATGAATTGAACAAGACATTTAAACACTCAATGAGAAAAATCAATTAAAGTGTTTAAATAGAAAAACACTGAACATTTTGTTCAATCAAGGTATTACTGCATTTCATATTGCCTCAACTTTACATTGCTCAAATAGTTTTAGTATCAATAGCTCAGCAAAGACAACACATTCAACAACCAGAAAACCACTGTTATCTTTTCCTTTCATTAGGCCTTTTTATAAACAGATGTCTCACCCAAAGTGATAGCATGAGGAGTAGCATGGAAAGCCATGAACTTGAAATTCATACTTCCCATTGCCAGCTGGAAGTAACACACAACTATGATGTCTCAGGAGCAAAGAATCAATTCCTACATTCATTTTAACCCACAATTTTCATTCTCAGACCAAAAGTGCTAAAATGACCTCTCAGACACACACCACAAATGGCAAATGCCAAGATCCACCCATCCAATCAGGTACCACTATGACTCTGCAGAGAAAATACACACCTCACATAAACAGACCAATCAACATTTCTAGATTTTCCACACATGCCTAGTATAATAATGAATTTCAAGCATAAAGCTGCATTTTGTGAGAGATTATGTTACAATGATTGAAGTGATGTGGAAAATACAGTTCAACTGAGTATACTCAACTCCTCTACCAATTATGAGTTTCACTATAGAAGAGGAAACATTTGCCAGAAAAAGGTTGCAGGCTTGTTTTGAACATAGACAAGTCCAGTGATATGTCTTTCCAGGTGACTCTCATTCTCCTGTCCTCACTCAAGTGTATCAGTACAAAGATTCCCTGTGAAAAGTCCTTAATTATCGAGAGTGATAACAATTCCAGCTAGAAATACCAACTCTCCAGTTTGTCGGTGCCTCAGAATTTCTACTCGGCATATACTACTAGTTATTGCCACCATAGTTCTCTGAAAGATTAAGTTGTGTATTTAAAATAAAAATTTTTTAAATACAGGTTCTTGGGGTTTTTTCCAAAGCACAAAGGAAAAAGAAAACAGACTTCAATCTGACATCATTAGAAGAGCTTAGTGATAACAGAATCCTGTTAGTGTATTAAATAATAAAGAATATTATTTTACAAGAGATGTTGCACCACATTCTTCAGGAAAAACTAGATTTCAAAACAGAAGCACAGAATGAAAAAAAATCCCTGACATCGGCAAATCAGCACAGAACTTAGTTCCTATTACGGAGAATATTTTAACTTAAGCTATCACAGTCACATCATTTTTTATTTTAATTGTCTCAGTCATTTTCAATTGCTCTTTTACTCTCTACGTA